GTCTGTTGCTGCTAGGTTAGTAGTTTGTTTCTGCTAGGTTAGTTGACTGTTGGGGCAAGGTTAGTTATATAGCCCTGAAAGGTTAGTTATATCCCGTTGCAACGTCAGTTGTATTTTGTTGCTAGGTTAAATGAATGTTGGTGATAGGTTAGTTTTCTGTTGGTTTTAGGTTACTTGTCTGATGTTTGCTAGGCTAGTTATGTTAATTTGCTAGGGTACTTCTATCATGTTGCTATGTTAGTCATGTCCAGTTGCTACGTTAGGTGTTTTTCACTTGCAATGTTAGTTTTATCCATCTGCTAGGTTAGTTGTCTCTAGGTGCTAGGTTAGATGTATTTTGTTGCTACGATAGTTCTATCCACTTTCAAGGTTAGTTATGTCCAGTTGCCACGTTACTTTTTTTGTGATTGCTAGGTTAGTTGTATATTCATGCTAGGTTAGTTGTACCTGATTGCTAGGATAGTTGATCATGCATGCTAGATTTCAGAAATCGACGATTAAATCGTAAATCAAAGTTTCTGACTAACATAATCTATTAGGTGCAGATTGAGTGTTATATTCTGCGTAAATTATGGTTTTTTCATCAAAAACAATTTTATTAAGATCAAAATCAAAAACATCAACTTCATCAACCTCGAATATTTTAAAATCAAAATATTGAAATTAGGATCAACAATATTGAAATTAAAATCAAAATCAACATCAAAATCAATTGAATACCTTCTGCCAATACTGTCGGCAATGGAGATGCTTCAATCTCTGTTGATATAACCTCCATCAACATCGTTGCTTTTTGTATTACGCGATTAAATATGTCGTAAAGTTGAAATTAAGAAGGTAATCAAATTGAGAAGGAAAGTTGAGATTGGGAAGATTTTCTCGCGATTCTCTGTGTAAGTTTTTGCGCGAAGTTGATTGTTTCCTATTTGAACTGTACGTGTTTCACATATATATATATATAATGTATCTAATTACGCGCAGGTGAATTGTTTTGAGCGTGTTTAATGGACGGCCCAAATTGAGTCTCACGGCCGCATTTTAAGAGTGGGCCGCATTTGAACCAGCCCCTATATATATATATTTTTTTTTTAATGCACAAAGTGTAATATGAATAAAATTAGACTCTCACCACCCACGCCCAAACCCAAACCCAATTCCTTTAAACCCTTGCTTTATAAACCTGATTGCTTACATTTTGCACTACAATTCACACGCCACTCTCATTTCTCTCTGTTCAGTCACCGGCCGCCAATTGCCGCCGTAAGTTCGCCGTCTAACTGCTTTCAAGTTCCCCCTCATGAATTTTTCTCCATTGTAATATATACTTTTTTTTCGCGATATTTTCAGTAGAGATGAAGGTGATAGCAGCCTATTTGCTCGCCGTGTTGGGAGGTAACGCCGCCCCTTCCGCCGGCGATGTGAAGGACATCCTCTCCTCCGGTAAGGACCAGCCTTAGTATTGTCGGTATGCGTTCGAGTAAATTCCTAATTTCCATTGTACATTTTTTTTCCGCTGGGGTTTTCCAGTGTTGATTTGGATCGTGAGAGTTTGTAATGATGCTAAGATTGGCGATTTAGTTTATGATCTATTTGCGTTGATTTCAATTCTGGACGTTTATGCGGAGTTTGGATTTGAATTGTGCGTTTTTGCCTTGTGTTGTCCTTCCTGCGTTTAAGCTTCCATTGATGCATTTGAATGAGCTGTGTTGAGCCACATTTTTTTTATTTTATCACCTTTTTGGAGTAATTTTCCCTTGGGTATGATTTAATTTGTTCGTTCCTTTTGGGGGTTTATTTGTGTGTAGTTGGAGCTGAAGCTGATAACGATAGAGTTGAACTTCTTTTATCGCAAGTGAAGGGAAAAGACATTACACAGCTAATTGCTGCTGGACGTGAGAAGCTGGCCTCTGTACCTTCCGGCGGTGGTGCAGTTGCAGTTGCCACATCAGCATCTGGCGGTGCAGCTGCTCCAGCTGCGGTGGAGACTTCAAAAGAAGAGAAAGTGGAGGAGAAAGAGGAATCAGATGACGTAAGTCTTTATGTTTATATACGTTTACATACATATATATATGCATATCCTACCTATTGCATTTCATTGTTTGAGCTTCAAATTTGTGGTTTATGTATCTAACTAGTGTCTCTTATGTTTCAATTCAAGTATGGTTTTGTGTTGTTAAGTGTGCAAATTTGTGAATCCTTGTTATTTTTTTTAGTTTTACAACATTTTTACTACAAATATGTTTATAAATGTACCTTCTTCTCAGTCAACCCTTGAATGCATTAATACTTTTGCTCTGGAGCCCTCATTTCATTAGTAAATTATCGCATCAATTACTTTGCATGCAGTTTGCAGTTTCATCATTCCAATTTGGTTGTTAGAATCCCATTTTTTTTTTATCCTTTTTCAAATGATTCTCATGCAATTCACCTTACAGACACATGTCTACAGAGAGAAAGACTGAACAATCACCCTCTTGCTTTATGTATCTACATGCATGCGCATGTCCGTTTGTGTGTTCTTTCTTGTTTGATTTTTCTTTTTCTTTTTTCTTTTTAATGTTAATGTTTTCTAGATTTGTATAGGTAATAATAGCAAGCATCTTTTGCATTGTGCTTACTCGAGTATGTGTTGCTATAGTAAGTGCGCGATGTCATCTTAATTGGCGTGTTCTCGATTATAAATCTTCCTTGTTTTCTCTTTGCTGCTGGTCTTGTTCACTAATGCTCATTTCAAATTGACTTTAAATTGCAGGATTTGGGCTTCAGCCTCTTCGACTAGACAATTGTGGTTTCTATATAAAATATCTATGTGGTTTAGTTTCCATTTGTTAGTTCCTCTGTTTTATGTCTTTTAGAAATGAACTTTGACCTTGTTTTTTATCACCTTTCTGTATGCTGATTTGGGAGATGGAATTATGGAAAGCTCAATGCAGGTTAACTCATTGTTGGGAGTACCTTCTTTTTTTGTGACTTAACGGAATCGAACTTCGAAATTTTGTTTGAATGTTAAATGTTGATTATAGGGAAAATCTCTTTCTTAGTATTGTGCTCTGATGCATAAGACCTCAGAATGTATCTTGAATGTTATTACAAGAAGAGGTTCTCATACCACTGTGTTACAAAGACCTTTGTTCTCTTTTTGTTTTTTTTTTTTGTTTTTTGGTTTTTTTTTTGTTTTTTTTTTTTTGTTTTTTTTTTTGTGGGGTTGTAAGAGAATTGAGTTTCTCGCTTGATTATTTGTTACTCTGAATGAGCAAGCTTGAGCTCGATAATATTCGGGCCGAAAGCTCGACAAGAACATTCTTGTTTTAAAGCTCGAGCTCGGGTTTAATTCAATATTTGGTTTTTGAATTAGAGCTCGAGCTTGGGTCATATAGTTCAATAACATGTTACACGAGCCTTTGTATGCTCATACTATACTTATTGAGCATAATTGCATAAACTAGTTTCTTTTACAAGCCGTGCTCGAATTGGAACAGTCGATGAAAGTAAACATTTTTTGTGAACCAAACTTGAATTCAAAGCTCCTGAAAGGCTTGATGGTCAAAACTTGTAATGAGCTTGAGCTGGATTCAAGCCTTCCCAAAAGATGAACCTGGCTCGAGGAGAATCAGGAGAAGGGGGAAAAGAACAAGAAATGAATACAAAACAAAAATAAAAAAAACACTAAAAAGTAACTAAAGAAAATAAGGGTGCGTTTGGTTGCTTTCTGGGATTGGGCTTGATTTAATGTGTCATGGTATGGCCCACAGTTTTATGTGGTATTATTATGAGAAATTTCCACTCGATATTAACTGATTATATTTCTATATTTTCCCTGAAGAATGGCCAAGCATTGTCCTATGAATAACTGTTCTGGTAGAAGAAGCATAGTGTGTTGCTGAATTTTGAGTGTTGATCAGTCTGGTGTTAATCTTGATATATTTGAACAGTCTGGTGTTGACCTTTGTTGTTTCCTTTCAGAGTTCTTGTAAGTTGCAAGACTTCAATATGTTTAACTGCAAGGGGAATATGTCAATATTATATCACTTGATGGTTTCGACTTGTAAGGTTGGACATATAAGTTTTTTAATAAGTTATAGTCGTTGGGAAAAAATAGAAGAGCCTGACATTGGCGCATTATGATCTGTTTACACCTGTTAGTTATGATGTATTGTAACACGAGTGTTTAGGGAGGTATGCATGCTTATTTGAATCTATTTCTGAAGATTACGAAACAGGTATGGAGTTTCATATCCCGCCGAGCAAAAACAGTACATATTTAACGATAAATGGACAGTCGAGGTTGACGAGTCGTTCACATTGTTGTTGGTATCAGCACAACCTCATTTCCCGTTGTTACTTGAAGGCAATAAAAAATATTAGTACTCATTGTTTACCTTAAGCGCCGATAGTTTGACTATTGAGTTTGGTAAATCTTTTACTTCAATAGAGTGTGAGCACAAGTTTAAGCAATTTAGGGGAAGACATAGGGTGATGAGGGAGATGATTACAAACTATGGTATTAACTACTGCTGCGAGAGTGGTCTCATGTGGGGACCAAAAGAAGCATGGAAGAGGGTATTTACTGTACGTAACGTGATTGATTACATTCCAATATTTTCTTGTATTTGAACTATGTTATCTTTATGTAATTGACATTATTTATTTTGCAGGATGAACCTATTAGTCTGGCCTACAAAACTATGGGAGACCCGCAATGGTCGAAATTGCAGATAATTTTTGGTATGGTACACAAGGAAACAGTCCATCCAAATGTGCTAAGTGCTTCGAATTGCAGTACCACTGTCGATGCAGGTGTAGATGTTAAAGGAAAAAAAAAAAAACCACTTTTGTAATTTAGGA